TTTGTTCTATATGAAATTATCGTTATATGATTTGCAAAATTATTAAAGTAGATTATTAATAGAATAAAAAATTAAAATTTAATTTGTTATAGATTCCTAATCCAGTTCCACTTCTTTAGTTTGTTATTCATTAAAAAAGTTTTTGTTCTTTAAAAAGAAAAGGTTAAATGGGAAAATTGGTTTGAGTCAATGCAAGAAGCTTTTATGGTTTATGTGGTGGGAGAGTGTTGGGCTCTCTTACAATGAATGTCCATATCTCCAATCCAAAAATTATGGGGGTCTTCAAGCTTCAATCAGGCCTTTGTTTATTTAAACACCACAAGGCTATAGCCCAAGTGCGAATAACAATGCCCCAACCCATAATAAATGAATTCTTAATACTAACTAATTAATAATTAAGATCACAGTTAATCTGGGAATGCAGATATCAAGCCAAACTAGAAGAAATAACATAAAAAATTTTATTAAAGAGTATAATAATTTGATTTTATCAGGAAAACTTCATAATTAAACCAAGATAGTATAAGAAAATTTATTAATGCAGTATGAAATTGATTAAACAGTTCAATAAGCTCAATACTCTTTATACTAGAATGGCACCTTATTCGATTCGGTCATTTTTTTTTCAAAATTTTTATAAAAGTGAATAGTTTTAAATTAAAAAATATAAAAAATAATTATAGTAACAATAAATTAAAAATAATTCTTTTAAAGTATAAAAAATGTTCTCGGTGTTTACATTTTAACAATAAATTTCTACATTATAAAGTATTAATTGTGTTTTTTTCTTTTTAAAACTTTCAAAATACAAATTAATTCGTCAAAATGTTGTATTTTTTTTTTATTCTTTATGTTATTGCATATTTTGTTGATTGATTATGATTTATTAATAATTTCCAAGATTATGATTTATTAATGTTTAGATAATCTCTTTATTTCTTAAGCATTGGGCTTGAATCAAACTAATTGGGTCAAGACAGAAAGCAAATCTGGATCGGACCTAATGGGATTGACGCATCAATAGCCCACTCGTTTCTTTTTTTAATATTCTTTGTTTCTTTCTTGCTTTGTTTTGTTTTTTGTATTGGGTTTTTTTTTTTTGTGTCTTT